AGTCGTCGTCGGATTCTCAAACAAGTTGTTTAAACCGAGTTGACCAGTTCTGTGGGAACTGGCCTCTGCAAGTTTTTGCCTGTGCAGTCCGTTTAATCGTTGTGACTATTATTTTAGTGTCTTGTGCCGAGGATTATTTATCGAGGTCAAGTGCCAACTCCGAGCGTTTTTAAGGCATCCTTGCCGCTGTCTCACGGATATAGGTTGTTCCTCGAAATGCAACAAGCTTGAATGGACTCGTTCAGGTCTTCCCGATTCCTGAATTACACAGCCATCAGACGTGGTGACTGAATGGACATGAGGTGTGACGGACAAGGCAGCCTAGAAATGCAGATGGCCAACGTGGTTTGAAAGCCCAGGCTACGTGAAAGCCACCGACACTGTTGCACATCATGCAAGTGATCTTCATCTAAGTTAACACCGTCTAGTTCGGGCTCCTCTTGAACTACCATACTGGTCTGCTCTTGGGTGCCTGCTGTTTTCCTAGCTGCCGCTCATACTGACCACGGTTTATCTTGTCTGATGCGGATCAGTGGGGAAAGTTTTACCAATTGTCTCTGGGATGAGAAAAGGATATTTCGGCGACTTGTGCCAAGCCTAGAGTTATCCTCATCGCAGGGCTTTCCCTTCCGAGACGTTATGGCCTTTGAAAAGGCGGCATACTTTTGCTGGGGTGTTGCACATTCCGAGGATTGAGCAGTTTTTATTTCATCGCTCTTTATCATAGGTAGATCTAACTTCTTGTTAGCTACCTTCCAACACTGGGACAAATAATAAAATAGGTGAAATAAGTCTACTGTCCCCGTCCGTGAGTGGTAACTATTTGTTAGTTGAAGTGTTGCCGTTCACATTTTTTACATTCACCCACTGTTCCGAATTTTTAACAGATACTGGGGAACTACCAACAGCCAGTAATCTTGTCAGTGTTTTGGTTAGGGTTTCGGCTGTGTTGATCGCCTGTTCCACTTGTTTAGTTCCAGGCGATTTAGGTTTTCCGTTTGGATTTTCGAGCGGATTTTGGGTAGGAACAGTGGCTTCGCCAATGCCTCAGATACTTTTCACCGTGAGCAGATATACCAGAACCAAAGGCAGAATGGACTCAACATAAACGCATAGTACTCTTTAGGTACTGTAATTTCGCAGTGACAGTGTACCATGTACTAAAGAAACGGCTGTCAAATATAGAGTCACGGTTTTAGATTGGCATCGAGGAGGAGATACAGTAATCCTTGTGCGATTTCTGTAAGTCAGACTGTGTCGACTAAGCCTTAGGGCGCCTTTTCTTCCTATTTCAATTCAGCCTACTAGTCTTTGTGGGAATAGGATTCGAGAGAATTTGTTTGAGACTTAGTGGTGTACGGGTTGAATGGTCCGAATAATGAACACTACTTTGAGGAACGCTTTCGAGTGACGGATTGAGTTTTCCCACAACTGTCGTTCAATACCGGGGATTTCGACTCACTACTATGCCTGTAAGTCATACCTCGTGTGGTTTTCCTAACTGTCAAAGTGTAAAAAGTGATAGCAAGCTTATTAAGTAACGTGATACTTGAGAGATTTAGAGATGAAAAAACTAGATAAATTTAAGAGAAAATTACTTCAGTTAGGAGTTTTGGAAGGAAGAAAACAGTAATTCTAAATATAACTACGAAAGAATAGAACCTGAAAGTTCTCCAAAACTGCGAGTTAGTGAATATGTGTGTGCTGCCGAAGCAACTAGTAAGAGGAAGGTTGATTGAGACAGCTAGACCTACCGCTCAGTGGTCCTGACCTGGAAGCACTCCGTTCGTCCGAATTTGTACTCGGATTGTTAACCAGTGAATGGAGACAACTTATATTTCTTCGAGAGTGATTAAATATCGCGATCGGGTGTCCGAAACTGGATTGCATCGTGCAAATGGAGGGAGGTCAACGAGGCCACGTTAGTTTCAAAGCACGCTCTCAGGTTGATTGGTGTACCTTAGTGGTCTGTCTGCTGAAGGTTTGTATGTTCGCAAGACAAGCAACAACCTCAAAAGATAAAAGAATATGATTACCTTTTATGATGCCTAATTTACGGATGACAAAGCGACGAAATACTGTCTGGTGAAGATGGGTTGCTGAGTACTTCATACATGCCGGGAAATATATGTCGGTCATCGATATTTTATAAAGTTAAAGATAGAAAACTGCTCAGAACATGACTGTAAGCTGAACAGAAATATTTCAGAATAGTAGCATGGTGAAAATTGCCATAATGAGAACATCACTGAACAGATTGAACCAACTTCTGATCTTTTAAGCAAATGTCCTAATTTCTCTCACGGTTGATTGGAACTGTTTTTGTAAGCAAACTCTACTACATCAGACATAACCGCTCTGACGGGGGTACTACCAACTTCATGTAAATACGATAATTAGATGTGCTCCTAAGATACAAAAACTGTAGGTGATTAAAGCTGCAATACGTAAAAGCTATACGGTATTTCCTGCACTTCAAAACAATATAACTTTCGTACATTTAGAAAAGCTGCGTAACGACAATGAAAAGCGAGAAATAACCGGATGATATTTCTTTAGAAGCGAAAACAGTCTTTCAGTAATTAACTTCAGACCAAATTGGAGTCCAAATAATACAGCACTTTTCATACTTATATGGTTTATGATAAATTCCCACTCTTTTGTGTCGTAAAGATTGAAGAGCTAGAAGTTAAATTATGTCAGAACCGTACCGAGAAAAAGCCTTGTTTATATTTTTAGAGCAAATGGCTTAATATTGCACAACTTGGAACCAGTGATTTATGACTTCTAGTCAAAATTTTCATTGCCTGACGTAATCGTGAGGTATCCTTAGCCGAAAGCATTCAGCTAAAAATGTATTTTAAAAGAATAGTTTTGGGTTTTTCGGTTTATCGGTGGACTGGTCAATCGAAATATGAGATTCTTTAGGTACCGCATTGTGTATTGAGAAATTCATCCGCAGGCAGCACCTAGGTGTTTGTATAACTCTCTACTGTATAAGCCTTGAGATTACAAAGAAGGTTTATTAATTAATAAAAGAGGAGAAATTGAGAAACAGCTCGAGTCAGACTTTAGAACGGAAAATAAACATTTGTCACCAAACTCTAAGAAAATTCATAAGTATTCAATAAGGCCAACTCTGATACAAGCACTGCTAAACAATTATCATAAATAAATTGCTTCACCGATCATGGAGGTTCTTGCCAGTGCATCAGTTACCCTACCTAGTTTAGACCCGTTACCAAGTACATTACATAAGTTCCGTAAAGAAGAATTTTGATTCCAGCCTTAAAATTCCCAAAACATGTTTTCGTACTGCCTAATGGGCTGCGGTATGTTGTCCTGCGGTTGCTGTTCGAGAACAGTTAGTTACAGACTATGAATAATCCAGCACAAACACATATTGTGTATTTTTATGTATTTTATTACGTTCAGAAGTTGTAGTTTGCACAGTAGATACCATAAAATATATATTTCATATGAAACATTTAGTCGCAGAAAGCTCTGAAAATTTTGGGGGCCTTGTAATATTATTAAAATTAGCAAAGCCATAACCTATATTACTGGGTAGAATATAGTGACCGCGTGTATGATATTACAAAGATAGCAATTTTAAATGATGAAACGAAATGTTAACAACAGTCTGTGACTCACTTTCTACTCACTACACACTGTAGGTTATGTGAATTTCACGTAGTCGGCCCACAATTCACATTATTACAGTTACTATAACAACTATTGATTGTTGTAAAATACCCCCACAACGAAAGTGAAATGATTTAAACAAAAAATTAATCAGGACCGCTTCAGGATAGATATTCTCTGTACATATAGATGATATACCTGTTTTTTCTAATGTATTCAACGTTTTATTAATGTATGTGGGAAGACCAATAAGTTCATGAAGTCATTCAGTTTGAGTGGCGATGCAAAGAAGGCGTGCCCACCAAATGTAGTAGCAGCATTTCATTGAGATTAGATTTCTGTAAACAGAGATAAACTTACAACATGATAATTAGACTTGACGATGTGGTCACGATGAAATTCGAACAAAGATAAGACGCAGGGGTCCCTACTCATTATAAGAGTCAACAACGAAATGAGTGGAACGGGTTTGCAGACGCGCAGAACTGTAATTCCAACCGGATTCTTAAACATGCAGTATTGTAAGTGGTATCACTTATGGTTAGGTAGTAATGATCAAAGCGGTGTTACCCAATATTGTATAGAATTCACGGCATATAAGGTTTCAACAAGTTTCTCTCTTCTTGTCTTACATCACCAAATATATAACTATTCGCTCACATAAATTTATGAAATAATTGACATTTTTAACTAGAATTAAGCAAAACAATTTTCAGATAATAGGAATCCATACAACTGCGAATTTTCGGCCAGCTAAAGAATTAGAAATTTGGATTCAAGCAATTCCTACAACCTAACTGTCACATGATGAAATTACTTTTTATGGTTTTGTCAGCTATGAATAACCTCGAAGTAATTTTGTCAGTTTATCTCTTCTGATGTTCTCATATTATGTTGTTATTGGTCTGCTGTTTGAATTTTCATTATTCAACATAGGATTTCAAGATTTATAAATCTCTATATACTACCTCAAGTTTATCATTAACAATGCTTTAACTCGAGTTGTCTTTTTACACGAAGACCCTAAAGCCAGCTTGATAAGATTTAGTGTAGGTCCTCTGAACATACACCATCCTAAAATGGTCGATGGCAACTCTTCTCGAGGAGAATGAAACTGACTTACATACGATGAAAGCATCCGCCTACTCAGAAAGTGTACTTTTTGGAAGGCAGATCAATTGTGCCTCGTCATTCTGCATCAAAGAAGAAGTAAAATAACTCTCATCGTGTTCAGCATACAGTTCTCTCCAGGAGAAGTAAGACCAAGTTGGAAAATTTATACATTCCGATAAATTTAAAATTCGACGTTTAATATTGCTTGTGTCATAGTTGTTGAGATAAAGTTTTTCTGCATCAACGATCATGTACATGGCGCCCCCACGTAGGTTTGCTTACAGCGCCAATTTCTGTGGATTGTAAGTTGACATGTTAGGGGAAGCTTATTCTCGTACTGTCGATGATATCTTAAAACATTATAACACTAATACTGAAACTGGATTAACTCGGAAGCAAATTGATTCCTCTCTCAAAGAATATGGATACAATGGTTTGTGCCATTTTGACATAAATATTCCTTTAGAATTACCTCCGGAAGATAGCAAGCCGCTTTGGAGATTGGTTCTCGAACAGTTTGACGATCTATTGGTCAAAATTCTTTTGCTAGCAGCTGTTATTTCATTTGTAATTTATAATAGTGTATTTTTACAGTTCCAATTTAGGTCTTGGCCTGGTTCGAAGACAGCGAAGATGCAACTACTGCATTCGTCGAGCCAATTGTTATAATGCTTATACTAATAGTAAACGCAATTGTTGGTGTATGGCAGGTAGGCCGTATAGAGCTGAGTTCTATAAATTCAGGAACGTAACGCTGAATCAGCCATAGAAGCTTTGAAAGAGTATGAGTCAGATACTGCGAAGGTTATTCGTCAGGGTTATGATGGTGTGCAGAGTGTGAAAGCCCGTGAACTAGTGCCTGGAGATATTGTAGAAGTCGCTGGTATGTTGTCTACACGTTTTGCGAGTGCCATCCGACAGCACAATTGGTTTGTTTTGTTTGATTATGTGGATGCTTATAGATAATGAAGTTACCCAGTAATAATACTCAGATCAAAAAGTAGATAATTCTTATTTTGAGTTTCTGTGTGCTCAAACATTGTATAGTGTTGTCTGCGTTGGTAAAACACTAATTATCCAACAACTGTCTTAGCTATCGGTACTAACCTAGCCAAATTCGCGTTTTCAAACGTGCTCAGCTGTCAGGAACTCGTTTCGTTAACCATAAAACTGCTTCCCTAACTGGAAAATACCACGTTCTTTAATTTTTGTTTTCTAACCGACTGTGATTATACTGGTATCGATTGTGCCACAGTGACTAGTATTTTTAAAGATTGCCCCAACTAAGTTCCATTGTGTCAGACAAGTATGGAAAGTACTTCTATTTAATTATGTGCTAATGCTTTTGTCAGCCAATAAGTCACTTTTCACTCGCCCATATATTGTGTCCTCAGAGGAAGTTTCACTCGTTACACACTTAAAATACCTAGGTTTTTTCGATAAGCAGTAAAGAACTATTTCTGTCGCTTCACTTTTTAAGTCATAAGTAATTTACAACATATACACAAATTTATATTAGATTTTTAATGCGTGATTAGCATCAAGGTATTCTTAGTTGAATTTTATTAACTTACCTATTTAGTTGGAGATCGGGTTCCAGCGGATATTAGGATCGTTAAAATTTTGTCCACAACACTTCTTATTGATCAGTCTATCTTAACTGGTGAATCAGTATCAGTTTCAAAACATAGTGACCCTATATCTCAGGCCCGAGCTGTCAATCAGGATAAAAAGAACATGCTATTTAGCGGTACGAACGTGGCTTCTGGAAAGTGTGTTGGAGTGGTAGTGGGAACCGGGCTTTCAACAGAAATAGGCAAAATCCGCGATCAAATCATGCATACGGAACAGGACAAAACTCCTCTCGGCCAGAAGATAGATGAGTTTGGAACACAGTTATCGAAGGTATGCAACTTATTTCTGCTTGTCATTATCTTGTTTATGCGCCTCATGCCTGTTTCTCACTAAGTTTGTTCCCAGTATCAGTGTAATGTAAGTTATTTTCCAGCTCATAATAGTTTAGTTGATAAATTTACGTCCTGTTGTTCATAATACAATGTTTCCTCTTCTTTATAGGTCATAACACTCATATGTATCGCTGTATGGTGCATTAATATTGGTCATTTTAACGACCCAGTGCATGGTGGTTCATGGCTGAGAGGTGCAGTATATTACTTTAAAATTGCAGTTGCACTCGCTGTTGCGGCAATTCCAGAAGGCCTACCAGCTGTTATAACAACATGTCTCGCCTTAGGGACCCGTCGAATGGCCCGCAAAAATGCCATCGTTCGATCATTACCGAGTGTAGAAACTCTCGGTTGTACAACAGTGATTTGTTCCGACAAAACTGGCACCCTCACAACCAACCAAATGACTGTTTGCCGAATGTTCACTTTCGGCAATGAATCTCAAATCGGTGATACTTCGCGGTTAAAGTTCGATGAGTTTGAAATTACTGGTTCTAAATATGCTCCAGAAGGAGATGTGTAAGTTCCATCTATGTTTTTATTTTTGATTCACATAACATTTTCTTGGATGATCGGGGAAATTTGTAGCTTGGGTAGATAATTGTGGTGGAGTTTCGTTTTTCAAGTTCTCTGGCTTAGAGAATTTGATCATACACTTGCATAACCTTGACATATAAAAGGCTCTATTTAATAAGCAAGTCTAATCAAACTTAATTTCAAGTTTCTCACGTTACTTTTAAAAAACAAAGCTTTCTTGATCAGATAGTAAGTCTGATTACCTTGGACAGTGTACTTAAACATTTGTTGGTTGTTACAAAACGACGTGCAGGCAGTCGAAAAATGCCAGCACTAGGTAATAAATAAACAGCGATAAGTCATTAGCAATAGCCAAAGTAGAAGCGTCAAATAATTATTATGTTTGATACTTGAGGCAAATCACAAGGTCATCCGAAGATAGTAGGATCATTTGTACTGTCTGAGTATATAGAATCTCTAGCTGATATGCATGTTATCCTTAATGGGTTTCCTCTATGTCACTAATATGTACAGCTACCACCGATCTGTGCGTAAATTAGCGACTTACCACTTTCGTTTGTCTGAATTAGATGATCGTAAGCATGATTGATGTATATGCTAGTATTATTTTCAAAACCAATTGCCCTAATGAAACCCTGCTTTCATATTTTCAGGCATCATCAAGGACGGAAAATAAACTGTTCTGAATATCCTTGTCTTGTAGAGCTTGCGCAAATATGTTCTTTGTGTAATGACTCATCTGTGGAATACAATAAATCTCGACATGCATATGAAAAAGTGGGAGAGGCGACTGAGACTGCATTGGTCTGCTTGGTTGAGAAAATGAATGTCACAGAAGTCTCTAAATCAAACCTTACTAATCATCAGCTTGCGATGGTTTGTAATCGCGATATCCAGGTAGTTAACATTCTAGATTATGTTTTACTTAGTTCCTGTGATACATTTTGATATTTTCCTTCCTATTTTTTAGAAAATGTATGAACGAAAATTTACTCTCGAGTTTTCTCGAGATAGAAAGTCAATGTCTACGTACGTCATCCCTCGAAATCAAATTTCTGGTGCCAAAGAAAAACTATTTGTAAAGGTAATCATGCTTATTTATCGCACGAGTCTTCATACATTTGGGTCAAAAATTTCTACAGTTAATTAGATCGCTTAAGTTTTAATTACCATTAAGTTTAATGTTTAACCACCACGCTCAAACAAATAGTGGTATTAGTGAAGACTTGCTTTATATTTGGTCCCTCTAACAGTTGAAGCAAGGTAAATTTCATTCATCTCAGTACTCACAAATATATATATAGTATGAATTCTTTACTTAAGCCTATCTCCTTTAGTAACAATTAGCAAACTTGGATTGAAGTTCTTGACTTCATTTAAAATAGTTTTTCAGTTAGTGTTTTCGATTTAAAAATCCACTAAGTTTTTCTATTTATCTTACTACATGCATTTTATTTTGCTTGATAAGGGCGCCCCGGAATCAATATTAGATAGATGCACTCATGTACGCACTGCAGGCAGAAAATTGTTATTAACATCCGAACTGAAAGGCGAAGTACTTCGAAAAATAGCTACCTATGCCACCGGACGTGAAACTCTTCGTTGTTTGGCTTTAGCTACGAGAGATGAACCACCTTCGTATTCTCAATTTGATTTAAAAGATCCGAAAAATTTCAAGGACTATGAGGCAAGTCATATTTTCTTAGTTTCTTAATCTGTCAATCTATATGTATATGGTATTTAATAAGTGCTATTCTAATTGTTATCAATACTCAAGCTTAATCTTTAATCACTACGTCACAATAAGTTTGCATTTATTTTTTCACTCATTGTTTAGATTTTCCTTCTATGATAGGTAACTCTGCTCCAGTAAAACCTAATCCGAGCATTTAAGTTGAAGTTAACCACTATCTATATTAATGCTGTTTGAGTGTACATCCGTATCAGGTTTTAAGTCTGTCGCCTAATAAATTACTGTTATGGATTAGGATTTAATGAATAGTGCATAGTTCTAGACAACTAGCTGAGAGAGTAGGTTTTATTTCTAGTAAGCATAAGTCTGTAAATACTATTTACAAAAATAATTAGATGCTCTAAGAGATTGTAGAATATGAATTTTTCATATTATTCAATCAAAATAGAACCTGTCTGCCAGATTCAATTTTTCTACACTGTATCTCAAAAAGCATAATTTAAACGTTCTGAATGGTGTGGTTTCGGTAAAAAGATTCTATTCAAACGCTTATTTATTTTCTTAGTATCGGTATATACAATCTAGTGTGTGGCTATGCCTTTCTTTGATTTCCTCATTTAGTGATCTTATATCTAAATTTTACACATTAGTTTTACAATGCAAGTACGAGCGTTTGCGTTTTTGTACAGTCTGGTTAATGTGTATTAAGCAGTTACCCGGCAATAGTTTTGAGATTCAGACGGGTTTAATTTTCTGATTAAATTAAGGGATGTTTCCCATTTGTCCTAAAAAGTATGTAGCATAATACAGTACGCAATTATTTTCTTATACACAAACAAATGAGTTTACAGTAAATTGTTCTGCAGTTTCCAATGAGACGGTATACTTATATGTTAGAAAATAATAGAACTATGTTATGCATTTGGCATTTTTTTCAACTTATCCGTAGTTTGATTAAGCAGTTTCTACCAGCTCACTGTCAATGGTCATTGCATCACACGCGAATACTAATTACCTCTAATGATTTTCATTTTCAGACTGAATTAACTCTTGTGGGTGTTGTTGGTATGGTGGACCCACCGCGTTGTGAGGTTGCTAGTAGTATCCAAGCTTGTAAAAAAGCTGGTATCCGTGTTATTGTTATCACAGGTGACAATAAGGCAACCGCAGAGGCTATATGTCGTCGTATAGGGTTGTTCGAAGATAAAGAAGATACTTGTGGGAAGTCTTTTACAGGACGAGAATTCGATGACCTCAGTTTAGCAAAGAAAAAAGAGGCAGTACGTAATGGAAAATTGTTCGCTCGCGTTGAGCCCGCCCATAAAAGTCAAATAGTGCAATTCTTACAACAGGATGGTGAAGTATCTGCAATGGTAAGTGTTGATTTTCTCCTGTAAATTTTTAATACCAATGCTTGTTAAACGTACATCTCATATCGCTTCTGTGACAGGTAATCATGTCCTTTAGTGCCCGCATAATTGTATCCTCTGCAAGTTACGTATCTCTTGGTAGTGGTTTCTGGTTAGTGTTTTTTTGGCAAGTGAGATTTCAACGGAATGGGGTCGCCAACCCCATATCCAACCCTCCTCCTTTATCCGGGCTTGGGACCGGCAGTAGCCCCTAAGGTTCTACTGGCGGTGGTTTCACCATGTTTTAATTCATTCTAGGTAGTAAGACGTGTATAGTCAAATGAAGTACAAATTTTAACTACGAGGTACTGCGCAGTTAGTTTCCTGACTGCACCTGTATGACGTAACTGTTCAAACAACTTTACTGTGATCATTCATCAGCCACGAAAGCCTAGTCCCAGTGTGCATCAGCCAAGCTCGACAAGATGCAATTAGTGCAATGGTTAGCTATGAAGTGTGAACAATATAATAAGGGTGATAAAAAAATAATCACAGCGTTGAAGATATGGTTCGAAAAGACGAAGAAACTTCAAATATGAGAGAATGTCGGACGGTCACAAAGTAATAAAGAGCAAACTCTCATCGTATACCCGCACTTTGACCCGAAAATATACATATCGTGTGCGCCACATCTCTGAATTCTTCTGTTATGTTGAGGTGACAGCACTTATTACTAGTCCCAGTTTCTTACTCTGGTCAATTTAGTCATGTTTAGTTTTTTTGATTTTCAAGTAGTCAAATAACTCCACTTGTAGCTTGTCGTAATCAGCAATTTCTTCCATTCAAACGTATGCTAAGTATAAACATTTCAGTGTGTAAAGTTACATGCAGATGTAATCCAGCTGAATGGAGCAATGACTGACTAACATTACACTCAACCTCTTTTGTAATTCTAGAATAACTTAGCTCACAGCATAGATTATTTAGTCGAAATTCGTTTCAAAATTTAATTTTAGGTAGCTAAACGTTTTCCATTCGATATTATATTGATAAAGTTCTGTTGTTCTTAATATCTTTTAATAGACCGGGGATGGTGTTAATGACGCTCCAGCACTCAAAAAGGCTGAGATCGGGATTGCTATGGGAAGTGGTACTGCCGTTGCTAAATCTGCTTCTGACATGGTACTAGCGGATGATAATTTTAGTACAATTGTTGCTGCTGTAGAAGAAGGACGAGCTATATATGATAATATGAAACAATTTATCCGCTACTTGATTTCATCCAACATCGGTGAAGGTAAGTTCATTTATTTGCACTCTGTGTTAAATTAATTTGTTAAATCCAGTTGGGCTTAAGTTCATAATTAAGCTTTAGTATTACCAACACTTACAGTTGTGTTGATTATAATATCAAACTATTTTCTGAAGATCTGCTTATTGCCATGAGACTTGTTTTTTCGGTGTAGTTGACTAGTGCAATCTAAGGAATAGTTAATTTTCATCCACAATCAGTCAGTTGCAACGTAGAACTTCGTACGTATGTACATAAGTTCATGTTGCCATATCACATTAGCACAGAGACGCAAATGTCAAATCAAATCCCATAGTGATAGAGATAGCAGAGGTATTAATGGTAATGAAGAAGACTAGGGTTTGAAGATATTATTCAAGAAGTATAATTCAGTGAGATAAGGTTAGAAAGACAAAGGTAGAGGTGCTGACGAATCCAGAAGATTAGGATTTGAGAGAGCTCAAAGAATGGATGCACTTGCGCCATTGAGAACGATTTTGAGCCATGTCATTCAAGGTCTCTAACCATCGATTATTATCATCTCGCGGACCCCAACCAGGTAGTCGACAATTACCGACATGGCTAAGTCCACTCGTCAATGACTTCATGGATTTCTGCCATGTTTTGGTTTGGCCGCCCCTAACTTTCTTCCAACCTATTCCTACACTACAAAACAAAGCTCGACGAAGCAGTCGGTGGTTAGACATACGCAACACTTGTCCCAACCACCTCAACCGATGAAGTTTCAATACTTCATCTATTGATCTACCATCCTTACCTAGCACCCGATTCCTAATAACAGCGTTGCTCACTCGGGTGTCCCAGAGTATACGAGCAATGCTTTGAAGACACCTATGATCGAAAACCAGTAACCTACGAATATCTTCTACTCTCACTGGCCATGTTTCACAGCCGTAAAGTAAGACGGAGCGAACTACTGCGCAGTACACTCGTCCTTTAGTCAGCAAACGGATATCTCGCCTGCGCCATATGTGACGCAGGTTGGCAAAAGCCAATCGAGCCTTCTGTATCCGCGCTGAGATTTCATCAGTCACCAGGCTATCAGCACTGATGAGACTCCCTAGATAAGTGAAGTGATCAACACGCTCGACTACTTCACTTCCTATCACTAGTTCAGGTGCCGATGCAACCCGGTCTTGAAGCAACATTTTGCATTTCGAGGGGGAGAACCGCATCCCAAACATGCTTGCATTGTTGCTTATGGTAGTCAGAAGACTGCATTTTGTCAGCGTTTTCACCAAATAGAACTATGTCATCGGCATATTCTAAGTCAATAAGCGAGCCACCTGGTAAAAGGTCTACTCCTGAAAAATCTGACGAGCCTAATGTTAACTCTAACAGGATGTCTACGACAAAGTTAAACAAGAATGGAGAGAGTGGACAGCCCTGACGGACACCACTTGATGTAGAGAATTCAGATGACTTTCGCCATATGCTCTCACCCGACCAGTGGTGTTTGAGTAGAGTGCTTGTATAAGGTTAATGTACTTCTTTGGTACACCTTTCAATGACAGACACTGCCACAGAACCTCACGATCCACTGAGTCAAATGCCGCTGTTAGGTCCAGGAACACGACTATTGTCGGACGTCGAAATGTGTATCTGTGTTCCAGGACCTGTCGTAGTGTGGAGATGTGGTCTATACAACCACGTCCAGGTCGAAAACCAGCCTGCTTTTCTCGAGTTTGCTCTTCACGAGCTTTCGTTAAGCGTCGAAGTATTACTGAGGCCAATATTTTAGATACTATATTAGTTAGATTTATTCCCCTGTGATTGTCACATGAGGACTTTTGTCCTTTCTTGTAGATTGGGACAATTAGTGACTGACACTAGTGAGATGGGATTACGTCCAGTTCCCAGATTCTACCTCAGATCTCAGTCAACCTGGCTGCTACAACTGAACCACTATCCTTAAATATCTCAGGGGTAAGCCTATCAGGACTTTCTGCTCTACCTCCCTTTAGATTTCCTATAGCTTCCTCAACTTCATGTAGACTGGGAGGACTCAAATCGATTTGCCATTCAGGATGACTGGGGATCGTGGGCAACCGAAGTGTTGCTCGAAGCCAGTTGAACTGATCCCTAAAGTGTTCTGCCCATCGATCCAGTCTCCTGGATTGAGAATGGATAATAAGACCATCCTTTTCCGAGATAATCTCACTCACATTCGGGTTCCTAATACCGGTTTCTTTAATAAGGCGGAAAAGTTGTCTAGTGTTGCCTATCACCGCTGCCTTTTCCATCGCTTATGCTTTCGCCACCCATCACTGTTCGCGGTCGTTACGTAGGCTTTTTATAAGTCTGCGCCTAAGTTGACTACGCTCTTCATCATGTTCAGAGTCAGGTGGGATGCGTTTTCGAGCATCCATCAGTTCGGTGGATGCGACTGAAATCCACGACTTCATCCTAGCCTTATGGTTTACCTTGCTAGCAGATATCACTGCTGTTTCCATAGCCTTCTTGATATCATTCCAACCTGACTCCTGATGGGAATCACTTGCATGGTCTCATAACTTTTTCTAGTTCCTTCTGAAATATATTTTTCGCCCTATTATCATTAAGTAAAACCCTAAGAGGCTCCCTTACGGTGTCTTTTCTACGTCCATTAAGCCTCAAACGAATACGAGCTCGCACTAGGGCATGATCTGAATACAAACATGTGCACCAGAACGAGCGGCAGTCCTCTATTGAAACCCTCCATCGATGGCTGATGGCGATATGGTCTAGTTGCGTCCAACGTTGATACGACTTCGGGAGTCGCCAGGTCAATAGATGTTTTTCCTTTTGTTTAAAATTAGTGTGCTAGAAATAGGCGGTTATCTGAGCACAGTTGCAACAGACGGTCGCCATTGTCCGTTCTTTGAGCCGCGAGACCATAACAACATCCACCTAAATGTCTTTCATTTTCACTTAGTCTACCTACTGGAGCATTAAAGTCACCAGCCATTATTATTACATCGGAACGCTTAGCTTTTTGGAGGAGGTCCGAAAGCTTTCTGTAGAACTCATCTTTTACATCGTCTGAACTGCAATCAGTTGGGGCGTAGGCAGATACGACGAGTGTCCCTATCTTTACGAGTCCTTACTGTCCCATTCAGTCGTACAGCACACAAGCGACTATCTACTGGGATCCAGTCTAGGAGCTCTATTTCTGCCCTACTACTCTATGCTATACCTACACCAGCGAGGCCCTTAGAAGCAGCATCAGGGCTACCGGATACACGAAGGGTAAATCGAGTTGCTTCTTTATCTTGACATGGTGAGGTCAAGTGAATGATGCTACTTGAATCCTGTATGCGCTTTTCCGAGACTCAGCACACATCGATGGCACGAGATTCTAAATTCCTAGCTAATGAAGCCTGTTGCCCTATTTGACACAATGTCCGTACATTAAATGCTCCAACATGTAGTTTAGAACGGGGTGTAAGGAGACCAGGAACGACGTTTCGCGAACTCGCATCGTTTGCATTAGCTGTGCACTGTGATAAATGAATGTGAGAAGAGTTAGTCGTGGAGATAAGAGAGGTATTAGGGGGTGTCGGAAGGATATGATTTTGACCAATTTGGTCTCGTGTGCTGTTACGGGTATGAGGGCGGTTATCACTCCCCGGCTGCCCACACCATGGAAGATTGTTTCTTGAGGAACCTGAAAAGGAAGATAGATTAGTGTTGGTCTTGGAGACCTGGGAGCGTGACCGCAGAGCCCAGGCGACAACTGCTTGAGGCCGGTCACGCACGGCCTTTTTATGAGAAGTTTTTTGAGTATTAGCTCCGCTCTTGAAAGCCCTAAGTGGGCACCCTTACCGACGGAGACGGAAATCCGTGGGGTAAGGTGAGGTGTGACATTTTTAGGGTCGACCTTTTCTAACCCTTCCTTCCTTGTGAGAAGGCAGCATCGCTGCAGATGCTGGTTGTCCGAGGGAAACACCTTACTGCTGTCACACCCCTCTTCAGTCAACAGTACGACTTCGCCCTGAGACCTTGAGTAGCTGCTTTTAGTCTCATCGCACTCCAATCGACCTGCCTGGTATGGTAGAACCTTCAGGAACATATGTTCCAGCCAATATAGCTCGGTTGGGTCATCACGATAGGCATGCCCGACCACCACGTCAAGGTAGCAGCTTCGGTCGGGTTTTCATCCACACGGTCGACACTATTGATTTTGTTGCTTTCTGAATACTGTAATCGCTTAAGTTATTGATCCATGTGTTCAACTCAAGAAGTCTTAACCTATATCTATCCTTCATTACAAAATAGTTCGAATTTGATTGCAACCTGGATATTTCTAATGTGACACACTTTTGCTGCTGTCAACACAAGGGAAAACTCAACTTAGCGAATATATGTAAATAATTCTCCATATTTAACACAAGTATTGCAACTTATTATACTCTAGACTTACCATAAACTTTTTATCATAACCCATGTTTCTGATCTTTTTTCTTTACTGTGTTCCGTTAGTTGTTTGCATATTCCTGACTGCTGCTCTCGGAATGCCTGAGGCTTTGATTCCTGTACAATTGCTTTGGGTTAACTTAGTTACTGATGGCCTACCTGCTACAGCTTTAGGATTTAATCCTCCCGATGTCGACATAATGACTAAACCACCACGTAAAAGCAGAGAACCACTAATTTCTGGATGGCTATTTCTTCGATACATGTTAATAGGTATCTATGTTGGCTGTGCAACAGTTGGAGCAGCAGCCTGGTGGTTCATGATCTATGAGGAGGGTCCTAAAGTAAACTATTACCAGTTGGTATGTACATTTCTTATGAAAACGCATTTTTCTATTTTTATACAATTTACATATATATTCTGAGCAACATATATTGCATGTCCATCATTTTTATTGAAGCTTTCATCTTACTTATGGTTGTTTCTACTTAATATAACTGTCAGTAAATGAAATTGTGTGATGTTTGTCTACGCCCACTACTTTTCTCGTGTACTTGTTCTTTGCGTCTCTGCGAAACAGTGTAAAATA